GCATAATGAGGTCTGTATCTCCTCTCTCCACACACACACACACACACACACACACACACACACACACACACACACACACACACACACACACACACACACACACACACACACACACACACACACACACCTCACCCTAACATCCCCCAGGTCCTTCAGAAAGCTTCAGGGGGCAAAAGACGTATAATCCATCACCCTCAGGCTCGAGAAGCATTTCCACCCTACGTTTCCTTTGTAGTAAATTAAGTCTAATCAGTGTCGCCATATAAAAATATAATGACATAAATAGTTGAAAAACCTGACTGACTCATTTATATGTTTACGCAATATCAGCTTAAAGTCCTAAAAAAAATATTGTTGATATAAATCATATCATATATAAACATGAGTCGAATACTATATTTGGGATTTAGTTTATATTTAATACTGGAGGAGCTCCTGTGCGGTGTTCACTACTTCCCGGACACCTTCCTACAAGCTTCCTCTCACGTCATGATAGCGAATACGTCACCGGTGACACTCTGGTGGCTCCGGTAACATGGGGGATGTCCCCTTACCTTAGGTTACTGGCTATATAACAAAAGCTTACCTCGGCTGGTTGGTCATTACCTCTCCGGCTGCCTTGACACACACACGCACACAGGAGTCCTTGTCCCCGCTCGCTAACACAGAGTCATCTGCTGATCAAACTCAGATTTCGTCCTCAACTGCTGTCAGCAGCTCAGTATTGCTGTCATGAACACCAAGATGCTGATTCTGCTGCTGTCTGTGGCAGCCTCACGGAGCCTTGCGTTCGTTTACACATCATCTGCCGGCGGCTGTTCGGAAAAATTGGAGCCATCTCTGCTAATTACCATGAACAAGGAATTGTACGAGTTTCCGGTAATCTCGTGCGGGTGTGATGCTGAGCCACGGAGTGGTGGCGCTTGTCGTCAGCTGGTCCAGACCATCGTTGACACGGAAGGTAAATCACACACCTGGAAGCGAGGCTGTGTCTACACTTACCTCAGTGTTGGGGTCAAGCAAGATATACGTCTACTAACATGAGTCAACTCACACTTATCATGGTTTAAGTTCGCCAGGAAAATTGAGATGCAGCGGAAGCTTCCCAGTTTGTCTTATCTTGTCTTGCTCAGTACTGGAAATTCTGCGTGACTTGAAGACAATCATCTCCAGGATGAGTTGATGCAGGGATGCTGGAGGAGATGTCGTCCGCAGCTGAGGAACATCCGCATGTGGAAAATGCGGCACTGCTGTTGTATTCTCAGCCGTTACCTTAAAGCTACATTAACAGTTCCACATTTGTAATAAACTTACTACAACAAAGGATGAATTTAAATACTATCCACTTTACAAGCCATGAGCGCATTATCTCCAGTATGATATGTGCTAAATGTTTCCGACCAAACTCTATCTTAATGTTGATGATAATATATTATTTTAAGATAACATCTAGCTAGGGTAATTTTTAGGTAGAATTGCAAACCTGGTTTGATAAGAAATTTATAGTAGCCTTGTTAAGTTCTACAATATCGTGATAATTATATCTCAAGAAGGTTCCACGTAGCATAGCTGGTCCTTTAAACAAGATGAAAAGATCTGTTAAAAATGTTAATTAGTAGACTCGGTGTTCAAACATTAAACTAATTAGCATCAGAGATGAACGTTGAAACTTTTAAACCATTTTGCCAATGAATACTGGGCACTCAAATAACCTACACAAATATATTTTGAAGGTTATTTTGAGAGTTTCAACTGAGTTTGGTTTGGAGAAACTCCTTTCTGGTATTGCTTTTGTGAAAGGAGGTAACTCATACGTGAATTTGCAAGGCTTATTCGTAAGTGAAGAACGTAAAAAATGTAGAGTTTCATGCTACCTTCATTGGCATGACTCTTTGAGCCATATTAAATTAAACGCACAAAAATGGTTTCTTGGAGCTCCTCAGACTCCGGGTCCGAACAGAGAGTACAGTACGCGTGTCCTCTGTGTCGTCACCCTGAGGACCTGAAACATGAAACAGGACCCCTCTTGGGCCATGGCCTTTTCATTGAGTTTAGAAACCAATACTTTGAGTCAACCAACGCTAAATGAGCTTCAGTGAGTCAGTTGGAGTGGACACACATGTGTAGTCTACCATTCTTCAAGGGTTATACTATATCATTTGGGCGAAGAGTAGGACTGTCAGGGTTTTAGGCCCTAAAGGCATCGAAGTGCTCCATGGGCACTGGGCTGTGGTTCCTCTTGATGAATTCATTAACTTCATTGTGTCTTTCATGCCAATATTCAGAACTTAAGATCCTGCAAACCATTTTTGTTGGCTTCCGCCTTGTTGTGAATACACAGTTAAATCACTGTGCATTGGGGAATCAAGATGAGAGGGCCACTGCAAT